TCTCTCTCTCTCTCTCTCTCTCTCTCTCTCTCTCTCTTTACGTCATTGTCTCAATTGTTTTTTCACAACCGTGTTTCTATCCATGTTTTTCATTATCTTTTTTTTAACGGAAATACTTTGAATTACAAATAAAACAAGAATAATAAAAACTAACAAATACATTAGATATAATATTAATAATAATTTTAAATTTCATAAAGATTTACATTGCAATAATGAGTTTATATAAGAAGTAGTTTGCAGCTAGAGACGACATTTAACATTTGCAACTCGAAAGATATTGCTGTGATATAGCAAATATCAAAGTATTATGTGTACTTTATGTATTAATTTTATTTTTACGTATCACACTGATAACTTTGTTATGTGATACTGTAGTAACTTAATATAATACAGCAAATATCATTAACAAAGTTGTCAGTGTGATACGTAAAAGTAAAATTAAAACATAAAGTATACTTTTATAGATTATCTAAGAATATAATTGAAACCATGAATAAGAAGGGAACATATAAACCATGTGCGGGTATCGACTCGGGAGATGAAATCGTAATTTCTGGCATTGCTGGTAGATTTCCAAATTCAGACAACATGAATCAGTTACGAGAAAATCTATTCAATAAAGTTGATCTCGTTAAAGCGGATCATGGTCGTTGGAAAGCAGGTGACTAATTCATATATCAATTATATCTAATTCGTAAATAAAGTAGATAATTATTAAAAAGAATAATTATTTCAAAAGCTATCTAAATCATAGAATTTGAAATAATTATAATATAACCATATAATATAACGTACGTATAATTATATATCAAGAAATCCATTACAAATAAAAATTAAATTAAATATTACGAGTAAAAAATACTTCAGTTATTATAGGGATATATATCTTTCATTGAAGGACAAAATTTTATAGAAACAAATAAACAAAAGGCGTAATATTTTATGTAAAATTAAATTTTTCATTAGAACATCCGGGCATACCAAAGCGTATGGGAACAATCAACAATCTGCAAAAATTTGATGCAGATTTCTTTAGATTCTCTTTCGAGCAAGCATACGCATGTGATCCAATGATAAGAATATTATTGGAGCATTCTTATGAAGCTATTATCGATGCGGGAATTAACCCAAACCAGTTACGAGGAAAAAATACTGCAGTCATCGTAGCGATATCTTTTGTTGAAACACAAGAGAAACTTCTAAGTACGGATCTACAGGTAAAAAATTATTGATAAATAAATATGTAATAATAATTAATGTATTCTTCAGAAATACAAAAATTTACTAACCATAGATATTTATAATTATAGATAACGTACAAATTTACGTTGGATGCTTAAAGT